AGTGCAACTACCTGGAGCAGCCCAGTGAGCAGTGAATGTCTTAACCAGGGAGTTAGCACATCCCACTTGCCCTGTGTGTGCTTTTCTGTGGCTCAGGGTGTAAGTGGAGGAGGTTTGTAGTTGTGCAGCTTTCTAAAACCTGGATCAGGGTAGTGAGCTGCCTGAGAGCATTTGCAACATGCACTGAAAATAGGTGGTCAGGAGCACAAGTCGTAAGTTCTTGGGCTTGTTGCTGAAGCCTCTGTCTGCTTCATCTAAGGATGCAGTTGATTTTGGGGGGGAGAAGCTGGAGGGTTCCCTTGTGCATGTGGATGCTGTTTTAACTGTGTTTTTCCGCTTTAGGCCTCATCACGCAGGCAGATGTTTTGCTGCACGTAGCCTTCTGACCAGCAGTGGCATCTCAAGAAACCCTGATGTCTGTCAGCAGCACTGGTGAGCAGCTGGGGATTTCTGTGTGTCCTGCAGCCTGCTGAGCCCCAGTACTGGCAGCTGGGTACCCTGGACTTTCTGCCACTGTCTCCAGTTCACCACAGAATGGCTTGGCCATTCCCCATAGCCAACCTGACCTACATCACACAGCAGTCCTATTCAAGTTACGTTTTCAGTGAGACTCCTTGCAGAGTGATCATTTCCTGGGAGGACAGTGCGATGATGGAGGTAAAGTGTCCCCCCATGAACAGAAGGCTTCTGGGCCTCCACAGGGGCAGTGCCTTGGAGGACACCTTTCAGACCGGGGAGAGGAGTAGCGTCTAAAATTCTTCCACTGGCATGTGCTATCCAAGGAGAGAGGCTAGGACACAAAATACAGAATTTCAAGAGTAATTCTCTGTTCATGGCCATGAGGTGTACCAGTCAAATTGTGGGGCATCCTGAGCGTGGTTTTACAGAATTATAGAATTGTTAGGGTTGGAAGCGAGCTCTGGAGATCTTCCAGTCCAACCCCTTGCCAAGGCAGGGCCACACAGAGCAAGTTACACAGGAATGTGTCTGGTTTTGGAATGTCTCCGGAGAGGGGGACTCCACAGCCCCCCTGGGCACCCTGTTCCAGTGCTCTGACACCCTCACTGGAAAGAAGTTCTTCCTCGTGTTGAGATGAAACTTGTTGTGCTTTAGTTTATGGCCATTGCTCCTCATCCTGTCGCTGGGTAGCACTGAAAGGAGTCTGGCACCATCCTCTTGGCACCTGCCTTTCAGATATTTATATGTATTGATGACAATCCCTTCTCAGTCGCCTCTTCTCTAGACTAAACAGGCTGTGGTTCTTACACCTTTCAAGCGCTCAGTGGTTTGACCAGTGCCTACTCAACACACACATGTACTCCTGTTTTGCAAAGCAGCTCTAATTGTGTGGCGTTGTCCTCCGTCTGCTGCTTTCTTGACCAAGACATCCCTGCAGCTGGTCTTGCTGCTGTACCTTCTCTGTGCTGCGAGGTGAGGGAAGGGTTTCACTGAGATGTCAGAGGGGCTGGGCTGCTGCTCTGTTCTGGGTAGTGCAGAGGTATCCTTTCTTCTTCAAAGTTGGGGCTGTTCTTCTCCCCGTTGCAGTGAGCTGGGGTTCTTCAGTTGTGCTGACTGAACCACAGCTATACAGCTTACAGTGTCAACTATATGTACCTGAAGAAAGTTCATCCAGCTTCATAGTCGAAAGACCAATTGCTATAATAGTTAGGGAAAGAGATTTTCCTGACAGTCCCTCCTTGTGACCTTTAGGGTCACACTGTCCTATTCACTGTTCAAGGCGTAAGTTGTGTCCATAAGGTCACACAACACTGAGGACATACATCGTTACAAAGCAAAACAAGAGAGGGACTACATCAATTCAGCTCCTTTTAGTTCACAGTCCTCTATCTTTGTTGGGAGTCAGGAAGTTAGCCACCCAAATGGGTTTAGTGGAAATCCCTGCCTTACTTCATGTAATAGTTTTAAACGAGGCTTTATCTTGTTCCTGTCAGTTTTGTTGTTCTGGTACTGATTCACATAAAACCCCAGTGGCTATTAGTCAATACTGCACATGCTCTGTCATGCACATTCTCTGTCCTGTAGTTCTAAAAGGTGGTCTAGAGCTGATTGATTCCGTATTACCATTTGTGATAAGGATTTGGTTTCTTCCTGTAGGGCTATAATGCTGTTTGCGCTTTCAGGAATGGCTTTTTCTAATTGCCTTGACATGTTTGCCATATAGCTTGTTCTAGTTTTGCAACCCCTCACTGTGATACAAAAGCTGTTACAGAGAGGGGGGAATTTAGAGCTACATTCTGCCAGAGGGCTGCAACACTTTTTCCTGTAGCTATCAGTAGTTAAGAGTGAGGGGATCAGAAGAGATACTGATTCTGTCCTGGGCCTCTCCCAGTGCTGGTGGTTCATTTGCTACTTTTTAGTCCTTTCCTGCAGAGTTCAAGCAACTCTGGATGTGTGACACTGGGGAAGTCCATTGGTTGATGGCAATAAACATAAATGGTCATTGGCTGCTTTGACTGAAGTCTCTGATTCTTTAAGATGCGCTCAAGCACCTCGTTATGTCCCCTGCCTTTGCTGGCTCCGTGGCACGGAGAGCTGAGCACCACAGAGGGACTGCATCTGGCCCAGGATGTTTCACCCTGGCTGGATGTTGAAGGGAGGGTCACTGTAGTGACAGCGTGGGGATGACAGGGTGGTCACTGTGTGAGGTCAGGATGGGGTGACAGCAGGGCCAGGAGCAGCTCAGGGCGGTGACAGGCCCAGGTGTGACGGGTCCCCCTGCTTGGGTGGGGGAGCTTGGACCTGCGCATGACACGAGCCTTTTGTCACAATGCGCTGGGTCGCCTGGGTGTGCTGTGTTGTGGCAACTGGGGCAGAGGTGCTTGAGTCGCCGTAGAGGTTGGTCAGGCCTCAGAGTGCTGCATGCGGGAGAGGACACTGAGGCCAGCTAGGGCTTTGGGGAACTCTCCCCCCCTGGGCTTTGAGTAGGACTGGGGCAGGTGCCAACACACAGCACAGCTCACTTGCTGAGGGCCATAGCCTGGAGCTGTTTAGGTGGCAAAGCCAGGGCCTCACTACGCCACGATGGAGGCCTGAGGCTCTGTCAGCCGAGGCTGCCTGATGTGTCAGGGCCTGGCTGTGGCAGAGTGCTGCAGCCTCTGAACGCCTACCTGTCATTTGCCGAGCTAGACACGGTAGTGGAGCAGGCGCTGCCTGGCCCCGACCATGTCTTGCATCCACTACAAGTTCTTCTCCAAGCTGAACTATGATACGGTCACCTTCAGTGGCCTCAACATCTCCCTCTGCGACCTTAAGTGCAAGATCATGCGCAAGGAGAAGCTGAAGGCAGCCAACTGTGACCTGCAGATCAGCAATGCCCAGACCAAAGAAGGTACGTGTGCGCAGCATGTGCTGGGCTTTGGGGATGTCCTGGCTGGCGACGTTGCAGAGCACCCCATGATGGCCGCAGCCAGCAGAAGCCACATTCTGCCTTTTATGGCTCATCCGCACATAGCACGAGTGAGCCTGAGGCCCATCCTGCCAGCTGGCAGGAGCACCAAGAGGGTAAGCAGTGCCAGGGATTAAGTGGGGTGGAGTCATGAAACCTGATTGAGCATCCTGCTGGCTACACCAGTTTGTCAAATGTGCACACTGAGTCACAATGTCCAGAAGAGAGCCCCGAGCTTTCTAAACCCCTGAGGGGAGCCTAGGTGAAGCTAGATCTAGCCTTAGTCTCAGGCTTGGTCAATGGTTCATGTCTAATGGCATGTCAAAAAAGAAAATCAAGGTAGAATCCAGCTAAAATGATTTTCATGGAAACCAAAGATGAAAAAAGGAAGCCCTCCCACTGAGACACAATGTTCAGAGTGGACCCCCTGGCTTTCTAAACTCCTGATGGAGCCTAGGTGTGGCTGGATCTAGTCTTAGTGTCAGACTTGATCAAGCAAATGTAAAGCACTGAGCAGATGAGAAGTGTGGCTTTGGATGGATTAAGCTCCAAGAAACAGAGAAAGGTGGCAGGCTGTCTTCTGCATTCTTTCACTCTGGAGCACCAGCAGCAGAAGTGACCCAGTTAACAGTGGTGAAAGCAGTGGATCTGAGTTTTCATGCTTTTACTAATGCCTGGCTTGTTTCTGAGCAAGCTAGTCAGACTTTAGAACCTGCTTTATGCAGGTGAGACTTTGTGGTGGTTTGTTTTTCTCCAGAGATCTATTGGTTTTGTAGCCTAATAGAAGCAAAAGCAACCTCAGTTAGTTCAGGAAAGCCCCCCCTGTATTAGCAGGCTGTCCTGTAGTGACCTCTGAGACCCTTTCCTGCTGGCATTCAAACTGTTTTTAAAAAAAGATTTAGCTGCTGGTGTTTGGTTATCAAACCTGAAAATGTCTTGAAAGGTACTGTTAGTGCGTTCAGACAATGAAGGCACGATGTTACATACGAAATTTGGCTTCTGTATCTGTAGAGGCCTTCTCTGAAGCACTATGTAGTTAATTATGTATTAATACATGTCCTTTTGAATGTTTTTTTCTGTACTTCTGTTGGTTTCAGAATACACAGAAGATGCCCTGATTCCTAAAAACTCATCGGTAATTGTCAAAAGAATCCCTGCTGGAGGAGTTAAAGGAGTTAAAGCTACCGGCAAAACAGATGTTCCGTAAGTGTCCACACAGCATTGCATTCTTGGCTGTTGGTTTCAGTGTGTGAACTGTTGTGATGCATTTGAGGCATTCAGATTGTATCTTTCTTGTTAAAGCTTCTGTTAGATTTTGTTGTCACTGAGTAGATTTTCATGTATCGGTCCCAAAGCAGACTTATGTTTTTAGGCCTGCTGGGATACGGGGTTCAAACTCCAACAATGGAAACTTTTAAAATGTTTCTATAGGGTTTGTTCTAGGGGTTAATTTTTATGCGAACCAAGTTGTAGATCCTGTTTTGTCTGCGTGGAGAGATTCCTTGTTATATGTGTTCGCTTTTATGGCTTTTATAGCGAAGAGAGTTCTGCAGTGCAGTGCAATTAAGACTTTTTTTTTTGGTCACAGGGCTCCTCAGTCACACAAAAGCCCTGGAGCAGCTTCTTTCAGGTGACATTTCTACTCCAATTTTTAGTCAATAAAGCGTATGTAACATGTCTAGTACTTTGGCACTTTCACAGCTAAGCATGGTAGATACCTGAACACAGTGCTTGGGCTTCCATAAAGAAACACTCTTCTAAAACTAAGCTGCTAACAGTTTTTATTTCTTTGTCAGATGACTGATTTTTTTTCACTGACGTAAACTTGCCCTTTGAAGTGTTGGGACTATCACTGTTCTGCCATAGAAACTAAAGTACTGTATGTGACACCTGTTTGTAATACTAGGGGTGTACAGATTGCCTGAAGCTACGTTCATAGTTTGAGGGTTGATTATTTAAGAACACAAAGCTGTACTAGAGACTTGATATATTTGATACTGATGTGGCGGAGAAAATATCTGAGGACTTTCTTTTGCACTGTTGTGTTCTGTATCTGTAAGTCTGACTTTGTGACAAAGTAGAAATGGGATTTTGGAGGTTTTTTAGTTGCACTGAATGACCAAGAGATAACAGTTTGTGTACACAAATAAATTTCCATATTCCCTAGACTATGGGAACATAATGTTTTGATGTTCGGGATTTATAATTGATTTTTGGTGCTTTCTGTTGGGTACAAGTGCTTTATTTTAAGTTCTGATCACCTTTCTGTCTCCTCCTAGAAGTCGAACGGAGCCAGCGAGCAGAACATCAGAAGCAGTATGTAAAGACCCGATCTAACCTGTTTTTCTACGCACTGCACTGAATTCTAAACAATGTAGCCTTGTATTAATTTTCCAAACATTAACTTCATCTGTCTTCTAGTAAAACACAGTCCAGAGTGTAATTCAAATGCACTGATTCATCATAGTGAAAACTGAGTCACGCCATCAATTTGCAGAGTTCTGATGTGAATGTTGGGATTTATGCCTAGTAATGCATGGTATTTCCTATTGCATATGCTAGGATATGTCCTGTGTGACTTTGTGTTGTGCAGATAGTGCCTGATCATCTTTAGTTCACGCAGGTTCCAGGTGTGCACAATTGAACTTGGTGCCACGTTCGAGATCTGTCTGCCTATAGTTAGTAATGTTGTGAGTTTGTGCAGCCTTTTCTGTGCTTTTTGTACAAACTGCACTTCAGCAGTAGTTCTCTGCAAACACTGCGGCCCATTCCTAACCAGCGGCCTGAGGACTTCATTGTGGCAAGCTACAGGCGTAGGCAGCTGGGAGGGAGGAGTATGTTTGCAATGGAGGAAAAAATGCCATGACTGTGCTTTGAATCCATGCTTTCATCGTCAGGAAAGATTGGGTTTGGTCTGATAGAAAGAAGAACAAAAATTCTCACACTTCCCAAACTGATTTGGAGAGTGTGTCCTGTGGTCTATTAAAATACAAGAAATATTTTTTCTCCATTTTTATAGGCTATTCTGTCATAGTAAACACCTTTTTTTTTTTTTTCCCAGTAATTTGAGCAGTTTCTTTTTTTCCTAGACAAATTGGCAGGTTACTTTTATGGCTGGTGGTTCAGATTGGTGTTTGGGTTTGGTGGGGTATGGTGAGTTTGGCATCTTTGCAGTTATTCGTCAAAGCATAACTGTATAAATGCATGTTTAAATGATGAGACATTAGCTGACTAATTTACAAACTACACTGCAAGTAAGTTTCCTGTAGTGATGCTTCCTTCTCAAATAAACTTCAGCATTTTTCACAAGGGCCCCTCTCTGAGGTACTCTGGAGCAGTAAGTCCATCTCCAGTGAGTTGGTTAGTTTAGTTTCGTCTCATTAGCCACATAGGCACTTTTCAGCTGTCACAGGTTTGGACTTTATTCTGAACAAATACAAATTGCAGTAGGTTGGCAATGCCTCTTTCAGTGACACGCAGAGGATAGAGTGCAGATTTAGATTTTCAGACTGCAGTAGAGGTTAACTCTTGCTATGTTTTGATTATAGAACTTGAATATGCGTTTATTTTTTGCTGAACAGGTGAATGATGAGCCTTCTGCATCTCTTTCTCTGGCCCAGCTTTTAAAGGTGTGTATATTTGTATTGTTGTAAAATACTTAAAAATAAGTGTTTCCTTCATATTTTTAAGCCTCACTTGCAGTCTATAGATGGATAACTGTTGTAACGTGAACAAAACTTTAATTTTTAATAAAGTATTTAGTTTAACAGGTATGTCTAATTTGATACTGTGCTGTAAAGAGTACTTGCCAGTTTGGGAAGACAGAAGGGGAGTACCTTCTCAGCCTCAACATAATGTTGCAGCGTAACTCATCTTCAGGACATAAAGCAGCAGTACCTCAAAAGCTGTTTACTGTTTTTCCTATGTTTCATTAAGTTTGTGTTGGAATCTAACAGCATTTTTACAAAAGAATTTAATTGGCTGTGTGGTATGGACATTTCAGGGCAGTTTGCAACAGCTGAAGTAGAAGTGTTTCTGGAACTTGGACAAAGGCATGGCTGGTTTTGAATTTCTGGTCATTCGAGGCATAGAAACATTCTTTGAACACGGCACAGTCCCGTGAATTCCAGCCTCTGGACAGTGGAGAATGCAATCAAATTTGTTTGCGTGCAGACTGTGTCAACTCTGTAAATTGTGTACTTGATTGTTTAGGGGAATGTACCAGTGTGTATCTACGGTGTGTTAGCAGATGTGACCAGCTGAAAATGTTGCAATGGCCTGTTTTGGGGTGGAACTGCTTGCTGTTTTGGCTCAACACTGTGTAACTTTGGCAGGACACTAATGACCGCCCTTTGTGAAAAAGCGTAGCGCTAGCCAATTAAATGGAAAAGATGGGAGTTAGTTCTTTCTCCTAAGAAGAGAGGCAGGAGTTCATTTCTAAGAACGAGAGGTCTTCCCACCGGCAGCATCTTCCCTCTCTCGCTGAAGAAATGAAATCTGGGGCCTTCGGCTGTCCCTGCGTGTCTTGGTTCTGTAAACCCATGTGAAGTTTTACTCTCAAATGTGGAAAACTGTGGTGTGCACATTGAATCTTTTGAGAAACGCACGAACAACACATAAGGCAGCTCAAAACTGTTACTTGCTCGAAACACATTATTCAGGCTGGCTTAGCACAGGGGCAGTGTGCTGTGAACTAGTTTCTGTTTTATTATTAGAGTGCAGTAAATGTCATAGTTGAATTTTGGTCTATTGCTAGTAACGTTTTGTGAGGTTTGGCTATGTTTTGTGAACTGTTTGGGTTTGAACAAATCAGTCAAAACGTCTGCAAAGTTTCCTGTAAACGTTAATGGAAATGATTTCATAGATGTCCATCTGGATCGTATAACTGGTAAGAAAAAACTGTGTATATTAACAAGCCATTTAATAAAATGCAGAAACTGGTTGATTGCTCTTGTGAACGAATGCGTGTAGAAGTGAAGACGTACGTGGTTGATCTGAAAGATGGGTGGTTGGAGGTCCGAATCATTTACAGGCACTCCCTTAGACCTTTCTTGTGTATGGACTAGTGTGTAATAAAAACACCAGAAAAATCAGCTGGCTTCAAGATCTAGTTCTGCACGTAAGTGGTATTACAATATGTCCATTAAAAGGACACAGTCCCCTGGAAAAGCCTGCAGGTTGTGCTCTCTGTAGTTAAATCCCTTAGTAGGAAGAAGTTAGTAGGGGGTCAGTGCAGTTTGGATTGCCTACAGGACATGATGGTCACATTTCTACTGAAAAGAACCTTGTGTCTTGCTGAGGGATCAGAAAGATTCCTTTCAGTGCTTTTGTGTCTGATGCTAAGTTTCAGCAAGCAAAAACTACAGCCCTGCCACTAACACTGTGTGTTCTTTTTAGTGCTGCAAAATGTAAATACTATAACTTGCAGAAATCTTTCTCAATTAGATGCACAGTAGCTATCTCCTCCTTCAAATGGGCTGGAGCTTCAAAACCAGTTGAAAACTACTGCTAGGTCATTTCTTTTACTGATCACTTCAGTCCACTTGGAAGAAAAGTGGGTCAGTTACACAAGTCTATGTCAAGCCTAAGGTTTTGAGTGCCCAAGAATGCTCTTTTCAAGTAGGCTAGCGGGCACATAAGCATCCTGTAGAAGCACAAAGTCTCCTCAGCGCACGCTCAGGACAACAGTGTTTTATAGAAGCATCTGTTTTCAGGCAACATCAGCTAGCATTGTGGTGCCCTTTACAGGACTGAGCAAGCGGTGTTGTCTTTGGCTGGGTGAGCTTGCATGTGTTTCTAATGTGTGTGTCAAATAATTCCGTGTTAAACAGACTGCCAACCTGGCTGAAGCCAATGCTTCTGAAGAAGATAAAATAAAAGCCATGATGATACAGTCTGCCCGTCAATATGATCCAGTCAAGTAAGTGTCGATAATGTCAAATCAGTCCTTTGATGATTATGGGAAAAATTGTGTAGAGACACATGCACACCTTTTTCTTCCTGAAACCTTTTCAGTTACAGGAAGAAGCCCTTGGGTACACCTCCACCATCGTATGTTTGCTTTCACTGCGGAAAACCTGGCCACTATAGAAAGGACTGCCCAAGAAACGGGGTAAGGTTTTGGGGACTTCCGGTGTTACTTTCTGACCTTGTTTAATTTCTGACCATGGCAGTCAAGTACCAAATACAGGAATAATCGTATTGAGAACTCTTGAGGGGAAATACAGAGGTTACATGGCAATGCTGAAAAGCCCTTCAAAGTTCAAGGGAAAGCCGGGATTATAAATGTAATTTTTTCTTTTTTCTAAGCCACAGGCCTGAAGTAAGTCCATAGATCTTTTCACCTGTGAGTTTACATGCATATTTTTATGTATTTCAATATTACTGGAAATGTTTCTGGTTTAGCTCTTTTTAATGACAGTTCACGTTTTCAGGATTTTGTACGAAATCAAGATGCTTCTGTTGACCCCATCTACTGAATATTTGTGTGTTTTACTGACACAAGTCCCTGGTTGAGTATTCATGCCCTTTAACATTAGTCCCTGAATGTATACTCATGAGGTATGAATTCAAGCTTCATCTATAGCTGGTGAATAGATGTTTCTCCAGTGGCTGACCCAGAGCCCTGACTTAAGCTTTCCCTCTGAATTGTGCTTCTGGGGGGGAGGAGCGGGGGAGCAGGTTTGTATCTCTTCTCCCAGTGCATCATGAGGCAAGGGATGTTTCACCCTTAAGAAACCTGTTGTTAAGCCAAAGAATGTCGACTCAGATCAAAACTCTGCTGAAGCCTTTCACAGGATCAGAGAACCAACTAGGTTGGAAGAGATGCATCAAGTCCAACTGATACTTCAGGACTGACAAATCCATCACGAACCATGTCACTAAGGGCCTCATCTATGTGTTCTTTTGAACACTTCAGGGACAGTGATTCCACCACTTCCCTGAGAAGCTGACTTAGGAGCAATAGCTGACTTAGGAACATCCTGGCCATGTTCATTTAGGAAAAGAAGTATTTCAGTTGAACAACCTTCACGCTGGGTAAAAGGAGAGGATTTAAAGGGTTTTGCTTCTTACAGTCATCACTGAACTGTCATTTTAAGTGTAGGTCTTAAGATGAGGTATGTCTGCATTTCTTTTCCTAACAGGACAAAAATGTCCAGTCTGTTCCCAGACTGAAAAGGAGCACAGGAATTCCAAGTAGTTTCATGATAGAGGTGAAAGATCCCAACACTAAGGGTGCAATGCTGACAAACACTGGCAAATATGCAATACCGGTTATTAATGCGTAAGTATGGAATTAATTGGACTGACCAAAAAGCGAATGAGAGAAAGCATGCATAAACATCTGAGTGGCCATGCCACCAAGTTGGACTGCATCTGTAATTACGGGAGAGGAAGCGCAGTCCTTGCATTTTAACCTTAAGACCTGTGACACTTACCCCTCTAAAAAAGAGGGTGGTCATTCATACTTGTCATGCCCCTGGAAGCTGGTTCAGGTTGTGGTGCACCAGGGATCTGTATTTCTGCAAAACATTTTGGTAGTGTTGGCAGGGGACTCGTTCTCTTTGAGAGCTCATTTTGCTTCTGGTTTATGTTTCAAACGCTTCTTACAAAACTGTAACCAATAGCTGTTGGGTTGAGATTTCCTCCCCCTCCGAGTTTTTATTTTACAGAGTTATGGCTGTAGAAAAGTAGTTTCAGCTCAGTGCCTACACTTCAGAAGGCTAACGTGGAGTGAGAAGAATTCTGTCCAGTATCTTCCTTTGATAAAATGCAAAACTCGGAAAAGTATTCCTTTACCCATCTTTAAATTTGTTCTTTTTTCTTCCCCACACGCCCTCCAGGGAAGCTTATGCTAGAGGAAAGGGGAAAGGCCTCCATTTTTACCAGAGGAGCCATCCTCCTCCTCTTCTGATGGTCCTATTCCGGATGAGCTGTTATGTCTCATTTGTAAAGATATAATAACTGATGCAGCTATTCTTCCCTTCTGTAGAAGCAGTTATTGTGACGAATGTAATTGTTATTCCCATATTGTTAATTCAAAACATCACATCTCATCTTCTGAAAGCAAACATAGCAGATAACAAGATTACTTTGTTACCTGTTCTAATTAAAACCTAAGTATACCCTGACTAGGAAAGGACTCGTCTCGTATAAAGAAAAAAAAAACCCAAAACACCAAAAAAGAAAAGGCAGAAAACCTGGTTCTCTTTCTACAGATCCAGTTACATCCTCTTTACATGCAGAGGAGTGCCTAACTGTGCAGGTGATTACAGTATTAGGTATCAAATGTTTGTCCACAGCCCTTTCTCTCACACAAAATTATACAGCCATCTCTGGTGACTGACTGTGGTCTACAGCAAATGGATACTAAGGCATTTAATCCATATTCTTCTCCATGGGAGAGCTGGTTCAAACCTTCAGAACTCAGAGCTACCAATGCTTGTTTTTGAGATGTGCTTTGTTCATTAACTTTGGGGTCCATGACTTCTTGCTGTAGTGGACAGTGGAGAAAGGATGAGTTGAATCATGAAGACACAGCCCACACTCCATCTTCAAATACTACAACAGTGAAATGTCAAAACTGTGGAACTATTTGCTGCATGCTAGTAATTTTTTACACTCTTGAATATTTGTAGCTTCATGCTGTACCCTCAAGACCACATTCACCAATGAATCATACACGTGTTTTGGTTAGAACCCAACAACTTTCCTTAGTTTGGCTAAAAACTATTGTCTTGTGATTATACTAATTATGCACAGGTATTAGAACAGCATTGCTGGAGTCTGAGGAATTTACATGCCCAGCGTGTCATCAGACAGATGTTTCTCCTGATGCTTTAGCTGCCAACCAGAGCCTACGCCAGGTAGTGTGATGAGTTTTACATCAGTTGTACAAAGAGCTTGTAAGGAGCTGAGAGAGAAGACAATATTACTGTAACATTAATTTAGCCTTAAGCAAGGCTAAATTGAATAAGGCTAAATTTACTTTTCAAACACATTATCTCTGACAGCTCTTTAGAGACAATCTGACAAATTCAGGTCACGCTTCTGTTTAACACAATCACCTCACTTTCAAATTTGGTGTTAACACTGAAGTATTTTAAATACAGATACCCTGAGTTAACCCTCATTGACATCAGTGTTGAATGCGGTGTGTTTATATAGCTGTGGTCGAATGCTGTTAGGATTGATAGCATTTCCAGGAGTACACGAGTCATTTTACTCCGTGGAGGTTTTGTTGGTGTATCTGCTGAAGTTTCAGATTACCTTTATAAAATGTTCCTCTGCCTCTAGGCTGTGAACAACTTCAGAAATGGAGCTGGCTACACAAAAAGGCTCCGTAAGCAGATTCAGCAGCAGCAGCAGCCGCCGCCACCACCTGCAGCACCACTCACGACTGTTATCCCTCCTGCTGCTTTGGTGACTGCCGCTGAACTGCCTCCATCTTCCTCTCTGTCAATCCGCAGCTTGTTGGAAGAGAAGGTAAGCTTTATTTCCACATATGCGGTGACTCCAGGATTTCAGTAGAGCTTATTTTGCAGCTGTTTGCCTTTATTCACAAGGGCTCTCAAGTTCCTGTACGAAGACAGCTAGCGCTACCAAGTCTTCTGGGCTCCCAAGGGCAATCGGTACCCACAGCTGGTAAGTAATGATAGCTTTAGAACTTGTGTTAAAAAATTACCTTCAGATAAGCTGAATGGGTCTTTTTACTTTTTCTTCTCCCCTCTCCAAAAGGTCCTCCGAGGGCAGACAGTACCATCCACTCCAGAACAAGCTATGAACTGTAAGTATGCTATAGAAATTCAATATGTAACTACTGGTAACCTAGGCTGTAATGTATGACTTAGACAACAGCTGATCGATAATCAAATAAGTGTGCACAGAGAGCTGCGGGGAATACAACTGGTAACTGATTTTTGAATGGCTCAGTCTGAATTGCCTATAAGAAAGGGGATGCGTGCTTGCAGCAAGATTATTTCAACTAAAACTCTGGTACATGATTAAAAAGAAGACTGAAAGAAGGATGCTTTTTGAGAAAACCATAAGTACATATAAAAATTAAACAATGAAAGAATCAGATGGAAAGTTTTGCATTACTGGCTGAGTAGGGCTGAAGAAATGGGGTTCTTAGTAGAAATCAGCGTCCAACATTCTTGTTCTAACAACATAGTTGATACTGATTGAGGCAGTTCTTGGAAAAATCAGTGCTGTCGTTTTATGACAATTCTGAATTGTTTCCACTTAGTCATCTCAAACGGCCAAGCTGCTTTCTCTCAGTTGGAGAGAGAAGAGCCTGTTTCTGTGTCACGTTAGTCCTTCGTTTTGGTATAGATTTGTTAGGGATAGCTTTTCTATATAGAAGCTTCTATATAGATAAGTTGCACTTTACAAGAATTTAGAACAGAAAAAGTAGCTTCTGTTTCTACAAGAAATTTTCCTTTATCATTCCCCAACCTAACTGTAGCCAGGGGCTCTGCTGGGGAGGGCTTTGAATCTTCCCCCACTCCTCCTCAATCTTCATCTAAAGTATGTCAGGGCAGGCCCTGACATTCCACTAAATCTCCGGTGTTTATTTTCACTCTGAGGGCATTCTCTCTTCCAGTGCTCCCTCTGTTTACAGACTGCACTCTGATCATTCTCCAAGTGCAACCCATGCAGTCTGTTCACAAGCCTTTCCATGTAACCCTTCTTTCTGATCCCTTCCTCCCAGGCCGCTCCCCCCTTTCCTGCTTTCCTGGGTGAGAGCAACAGCCAACAACATTTGTTTCCTCCCTATGATTTCCATCTCCCTTTCAACTCTTCTGTTACTGTATACGCTCCAGGCTATTTCCAGTGATTTATTGAGTGACTGAGAGTCTGTCCCTCCCAGTTTTTGCAGCTTGCATTTAATACCTAGGTCTGATTGACCAATAAAAAAGGTAAGATAACTGTGCTGCACCTTTTTCAGGGTCCTTACCTCTATACTTATGTTTCATTCCAAACAAAACCAACTGCTGATATTTGGTTAATAGATCCTGCTCAGGCAGAACATTTGGATCCCATGTAGGGTCTGTGGAGGGAAAGTGGTCGTCCACTGACACTGCCCTGTGCCCCCTGCGTATGGATCTTTTCTGCCTCCTCCCTTGCTTTTGCCAGCACTCTGTCATCGTAAGTTACCGAAGTATCCAGTCCTACTTGTAAATCATTCTAGTCTGGATCTTGTGTTCTAATAATCGGCTCCATCACTTTAGTTACTTTTTCAGGATCTTCCCTATAGGGAGCGGCTAACTCTTTACAGGCTCATAAATCTGACACAGAAAACGATACCGTGATAGTCACCAGTCCCTCCACCCCTGTTCCTTGGTGTAAGGAGCTTGTATACCTCGGAGAGCACCTTTCGTTGTTCACCTCATGATGGAGCTAGAGCTCTCTTCCCATCGGCATCCAAACCTGCCCCCCCCCCGCCCCGCCAAGGCGCCTTCCTTCTTTTAATTTGTGGTCCAAGTAATAATTCCACATCCTCTTTTTCCTACCTACATCTAACACACCTCTTACCAATACTACACGCAGAACATCAGCTCTTGAGCAGTTTGTTATTAACAAAAAACACTCTCTAAGGCTCAATGTGGAGTTTCAGAAAGCAGCTTTCTTTATTGCAGCGCTGGGCGCACACGCAAACAGTTCCGCAAAGGTGAGCGTGCCCGTTCCTTGCCGGCAGCAGCTCTGTATTCAGCATACTCATGCATATTTACAGTCTTTCCAGGAGAGCATTTCCATACTCACGAGATTCCCAGGAGCTAATTATAATATCTGCATCTCAATTACACATGCGCTTTCTTGCGGAGTGGGGGTCTCTGATGGTCGCCCACAGTCTGCCTTACTGTGTTTACTGAGTGACATTTTTGCTTGCGCATGCTCGCAAGGTCCTAGTGCTGAGTTAGCAGAGGTACGGCTTTGCTTTCTTTGCGTTCCGGTCTCTGTTATCCTGAAGGTCTGCATCCTTGGTCTTACTTACTGCCTCCTTAGTTGTTACCATTCCCTTGATGTTCCTTCCCCCATCAGCTGGACATTCCTTATTCCCTGCGTGTCAGTAAGAACAGTTTGCTCTATTTTACTGTGTTAGTTTAAAGTTAGTTTAAAGTTTAACTTTATTGTTAGTTTAAACCTATAATTGAAACCTACATAATGGCTTGAGTAATACTGCTGGAGGCTATGTTTAGCTCTTCAATTTGCAGTAGCATTAAGTTAGCAGCTAAAAGAGAAGAAAGCCCAAACCAAGTTTGGGAGGAAAAAAATTAGCGAGAATGACTGTTTTGAATTAACTTCCATTTGTGTGTGTGTGTGTTGTGGGTTTTTTAAGATCCCAGCCTCACTGTCGTACTTCATTTTACTTTAGGAGTTCGCATACCTACTCCAAGCCAAGATCAGGTCCTTCCTGCACTGGCTGCTACTCTGGCTCACGCAGTTGTTCCCATTCACATTCCAACTTGCCATCACCGCAGTATCCAAGAAGAAGCAGAAGGAAGAGTCGTGACTATTCCAGGAGAAGGTCACATGGTCGTCACTGTTCAAGGTCAAGGTCCCCCCAACAAAGAAGACACCACTGATGGTCAAGGACCTGCCCCAGCCCTCTCCCCATCCCTGTTTCTTGTTCCATTCATTAAAAGGTCTGGGTGTTTGCTTCACAGCACCTCTCTGCCTGCAGTCATTTGCACAGCGGGAAGTGGGTAGGGGCTTAATGCAGCCCCTGGCACCCTGCAGGTGACTGAGCTGGGATGGGGATGGCCGCTGAGAGGATGGGTAGTTGGGGCATTGCTCCGGGTGCTGTGAAGCCATGGGAGAAGCCATATTGATTAGTATCAATGCCAGGAGGATAGAGACCTCCATCGCTGCCCCAGGACCAGCATCACTGCAGCAGGCTGGATCCAGCCCTGGGAAGGAACCATGGCTGCCCCAGGCGCTAGGCTGAGACTGGCTGAGCATGGGAAACTCAGCTCACACCTGGCTGGTGAGTGGGAATTGCTGGCTGGGGCTCACACAGCGATTTTCCAGAGCTGGCGCTGCAGTGGCTGCCCAGCTTGCTCCATCCTTCTGTGGCCTCATCCAACGCTGCCTTGGCGTCAGCCAGCAAAAGCCCCGGCCCACAGGTGAGCCCCAAGCCTGTGTCACAAAAAAATCAAGCTGACCCATGAAGACCAAGGCAAGAGGCTAGGATGCAAAGGGTAGAGTTAGAAGAACAAATATTTTTTCATGTGCATGTCATGCCCCTGCTCCATTGGAGCACACAAATGTGCCTCTACAGAGGGTCCTTATGCCCTTCAATCATTCAGGTACAAGACGACTTGCCTAATCACCAGCACCCACACTGCAAATTACTAATCCCTGTAAACCTTGCAAAGCAACTCCAGGTTTTCAGCATTCTCACTGCTTGCCTACTGATCCCTGGAGTCAGTCTTTCCTGAATTATTGATCTGTGATGCCAAAAAATGTTGGGAGGGGTTCCAAGATGTGTCTCAGGGGCTAGGATCAGACTTGTTCGTAAGGAAATCTTAAACTGGTGAAGATCTTTGTGAAGAGGAAAGGTGCTAATGAGCATATGCAGAATAATGTGAAATAGGAAGTAACTCTCTTCCAGCCAATACCAGGACATCCAGTTCCAACCCCCTGCCACGGGTAGGGACACCTTCTACTAGGCCACATACAGGGGAAGCTCCATTAGGAAATGAAAATGTTGGAGCGAGGATGGAGGAGGCCACGGAGCTGCTGCGAGGGCTGGAGCAGCTCTGCTCTGGAGCCAGGCTGAGAGAGCTGGGCTGGGGCAGCCTGGAGAAGAGAAGGCTCCTGAAGGGGAGACCTTAGAGCAGCTCCAGTGCCTAAAGGGGCTGCAGGAAAGCTGGAGAGGGGCTTGGGACAAGGGATGTAGGGACAGGACAAGGGGAATGGCTTGAACCTGCCCGAGGGGAGACTGAGCTGAGCTCTTAGGCAGAAGCTCTTCCCTGTGAGGGTGCTGAGGCGCTGGCACAGGGTGCCCAGAGAAGCTGTGGCTGCCCCATCCCTGGCAGTGCTCAAGGTCAGGTTGGACACAGGGGCTTGGAACAAGCTGCTCCAGTGGAAGGGCTCCCTGCCCGTGGCAGGGGTTGGAGCTGGATGAGCTTTAAGGTCCCTTCTCAGCAAACCGATCCTGTGATCAGCACAGAACAGGTCTCCACGTGAGCTGTGTTTGCAGCTGGGCTCTGCTATGCTCTTGTTTGAAAGCAGCCATGGCAAGTCTGCTGCTGCTGGGGGTGCCTGTTCAAGCCTGTGCTTCTTACTGGGGTTGCTGTCCCCAGGCCTTTTGAGGGTGGGAAAACAGAACAGGGCTATATGCATGTCACTTCAGGTTGCGGCTTATGTTGGATGTAGAGTAAAAAAAATCCTTGCTGAGAAACTTGTTAATAAACCTGTGATCCTGGGAAATGAGGAAGTTTGGAAGCCCAGCTCATTTTTAATTTCTGCAAGCTTAGGCCCGTGGCAAATCCATGCAGTAATTTTCATTTCTGTTTCTCAGCGCTGTAATGTTTGCTTTGGGAAGAGGGCTGGGACCACTGGGCTGAAAACCCGGCTTCAGCAGCTCCTATGTGGTTATTTTAAGAGAAACCATCATAAACCCATCCCCTGTTTGGGCTTTAGCAGGCTGGGCCATTCTTGCCCTGGGTGACTTTACAAAACTAAGCCCAGAATTGCATTTTCTTCCTGGAGCTGACAGGACCTGGGAGCCCTGAGCAGGCCGGCTCTGCTGGA